AATTTTAAAAAAAAAATTAAAAATGCGTAGAAGGCTTGTTTTACTGTTGTTGAATTGCCACTCAAGTGAATCTGGTTATCATTATAGAATTCCGCGTACGTGATCCTGGGGAGTTCTCGGCAGTCTGCGGGAGAGGCGTGTGTTCACCAGTGGACTCTAAATGGCTGAAACGATGATGATGATGAATTATGTCAAAGCGTCGAACGGTTGTGACCTTCCGTGAGCGTTCACGTTAAGAGTCGGAACGCCAGTAATTAAAAGCTTTCGACTAAAAACTCCTATACGCAAATTCATAAGCTCATCCAGCAACGGGATACGGGTTGTCCCGTGATTAGAAATATTGTAACGCACCCTACTTCCATATCAATAGACGCTTTATTAAAATGCAGTTGATGTTTTTGCCAAGCTGTCGTCTAACGAAAGGCCCGTGATTGATTCCATGTTAATTGCTGCGACCAGCTAAGCTACGAGTGACGTGATTTTGCGAGGAAATCCACTAGGAACGATCAAGTATTTGGCACGTTCACAGGTTTTATATTATATGAGTCCGAATTCTATTTCGGCCAGGACCAGCTCATGAGATTCTTTTAACGTTTTGCGAAATGCAGAGGTAGATTAGGCTTTCAAAATCGTTTAGAAACAGAAAAATAGCGAGAAAACTTACATCAGATCACTTGAGACGAAAAAGGATAAAATACTGAACAGACATTTAATCAACGATAGTCGGTAATGTGCGGTCCCGAAAGGGATTTTTTTTTCGAAGCTGCATGCAATCAATGGAATCCCATGTCGAACTTCACACAACTAAAACTAACAGCAACGTGAGAAATGAATTTAAAATTGTAGCGAATCTTTTAGCACTTCGGTGCATTGCATTTGAAAAAAAAAAGAGAAACTTGATTTTTTTTTGATAGAAATAAATATCATATTCGATGAAAATGTCAGTAAAGACATCAATGTTTGATAAAATAATTAATATTCAGACCCATATTAAATACATTAAAAATCTGGATGTGATTTCCAGGAATATCATATTTTCGTAGGTGATGATATTAAAAAACAAGTTAATTACCAATCTATGTTAAAACGTTGTATGACGATGCACCTTTTCAACGATGTAGTTGTATTAAAATTTTTCGGATAAAAAGTAAGCAAGCACCAATTAACAGCGGAATGGATAAAAGTCAATTGCGTTTTGTTTGCCACTGTTCGTACTGTGCAGTTGCTGTGAATGCGATGCAATGGATTATTTGTTCTGGCTTATTGGTGCTTCGGTACGACAAATGTCGGTACACGAGTATGTGTGAAGCACGTCACTTAACAAAACAGCGTCGACTTTAATTCGCGCAATATGATCAATGTAACCTACGTTATTAGGAACGGTGAAATCAATAACACTGAACTGCTGATTTGCTTAATTTTTACGTAATGTACGCGGCTTCCTGGCTTTTGTTTTCTGGAGGAGATTCCATTCAAAGTAAAGCTTTTTACTGTTGTACAATGATGTATTCATTATTCAAGATTCCAATGTAACTAGAAGTGAAAGTGCTTAAAATCTATACGATATGAAAATATTTGTCCGACTGTCAATTAGAAAATGACATTATGGACATTTAATGGAACCCCGTGAGTGACTCGCTAAAACGATAGTCAAATAAATATTATATAAATTTACCTTCGTCAAATTTTGCCTAATAGAGACTATTGAAGTGATAATGGCATTACAATGTCGTCAATAGTGTCAATCGGCATTGGGGATTTCGGGCAAGTGATTAGTGCTGTAACTACCTAACGGAGGGAATGGAATGCCAAGTAACAAATTATTTCACCTATTTGATTTGACCTGTATTTGATTGTCAGTGTCAAAACCATTGATATTATTGATTGAATGAATGAATGAATATCCAATCCATTTTAATTACGAACGAAAAAATTGAGAAAATTACAGCAGCAAAATTAGCAAGTTACAAATTAAATGACCGGAAAACAGAATCCAGAAAGGCGCATACATTTGTGAGACCCACAGATACTTGTTTCGCTGGGTGTTTGTCTACATGAAATTTATGTTTGTAAAACGTCCTGACAACACAGTTATCCTTAAGTAAGGGCAATGTTTTAAAACAAAATTTATAGTGGAGGCATAGATGCAAGTCTAAAATCTAGTCAGTGTCAAAATCATTGAGGTTATTGATTGCATCCAATTCACATTAATTACGAACGGGAAGATATAGGAACACACATGGAATACAAACTTTGCGGGGAACCCATTATGTCCAGATGTATAAGCAAATAGTCAAAGCAATATCTTTATCATATGTTTTTATAAAGACGTTGTCATAACCTATGCCTAAGTGAATATACACATATTCACTTAGGCATAGGTTATACGTAATAAATATTGAAAAAAGTCTGAACATCAAACTAAGAAGATTTAAATTTCATTTTGTAAAAAATAAAAACAATTATATCTCATTAGAATTTAAGGGCACTCAACAATTGTATACGGATCTTCCAAACGCTTCTATGAATAAAAAAGTTATAATTTTAATGAATTTCAAATTTAGTGTAAATACAATGGAAAACTGAAGTGAACTGAACTGAAGTGAAAGCCGTTAACACAAATGTACTTTTCACCATGGATACAAATTTTAATGTATAAGCAGGTTGTGAAATATCTCGAAATGAGCTAGAGATCCAATAATTGCAAATATAACGAATCTAATTGATCTATGAAGCAACTGGATAGTCCAAGTTTTTTGATTGCCTTGATATAAATTAAAAAGGACTTTGAAGCTCAATTTTCGGTTTTTCCTTAATACAATTTCGTCGTAGTCTTTTACTAAAATTTGCTTCAGGTTGGAAGATGAAAAAGAAATAATTTGATGACATTAATATGATAAAAAAATACACGAGTATCTTATAGTTTATTTTAATCTTAACGGAAGTACCATTAAAAGACCAAGACTTTTGCGAGATCCTTTTATACTTACCCAAGCTTACTAAGAACTGAGAGATAGATAGGAAATGAAAATAAATATCTGTAGGCGTATTCCGTGTAGGTGTGGCAACAACATGGTTTTGTTATAAAATCAAATATAAATTATTTTGTGAAAATTTAATACTGGCCTCTTTTCAAATTATAAATGAATACAAGATTTGCCCTCACATGAGGTTTATACACCCAAGTGCGGAATTATTATCAATGTCTATAATTCGGAATTATATTCCGAAATTGAATTGAGTTTACGTGTAATGGAACGACTAATATTAAATGGTAAATGTTCGATTCTCCATAGAATTTAAAACAATATACATAATCGTCCGAAAATGTGTTTCTTCTCCTATCAGGTTTTGCGGCATCCTTACCTCTGTTTTGTTAACCGACTTAAAAAGGGAGGAGGTTCTCAATTCGATTGGTATTTACTATGCATTCACGATAACGAGGCTTTTATTTAAACAATCATACGTCATGAACTCGAAGGTTTCCGTTTCATAACTTTGTGAATTTTTAATACAAATAATGATATTGAATACTTTCGCTTTAACACGAATAATCGTTGTAACATGTACATTGCTTGATGAGTTGTTTTTACAACCGAAACCTAAATATGTGCTTACTATCTGTGTATGAATAAACGTATGAAGAGGAATTGTGACAAAGTGACTATATAAATAATAATAAATAAACGTTCTTTAACCCCAAACTAAGCAACGCTTGGACTATGGATACTAGAAAACTGACAAACTTACTTAAACATACTTTTGTAAATAAATACATATTATACATATAATACATATATTAACACCCAGTCACTAGAAAAACACTATGTTTCACACAATATTTTTCCAGTAGTGTGGATCGAACCCTGGCGCAGAAGGCAGGTATAGAGATACTACGCCATTCTGGTCAAATAAAGCTTTATAGATTGTGTACGTGACACCACAGTGTGCGAAGTAAACGTACTGTCACTTGAATTCTGGTCCGGTTCTTACACGGAACAAAATATTGGAAACATGCCTAAGAAATAGAATACATTTTTAATCACAATAATTAAATCTAGGGTACACGATTGAACCAAGTTTTATATTAGTGATTATATAAATATATGATTATATAAATATAATCATTAATATAAAACTTTGATGAAAAAAAATGAATATATTTTTGAAATTAGTGGCATGTAAGAAATAATTTATGGACTGCATTAGACGGATATTTATGAACTGCACTAGACGGATATTTACGCGACGTAAAACGTTCGCTTAAAAAATTACCATGGACTTACCGTGTGTAATTTACAATAGAACATGATGATATCAACGTAAAATTTTATAATTCAAAAGTGCAAAAAGTCCGTTTTTGTTACAATAATATAAAAGTTACAACGTAATTCTAAACAAACAATCGTGAGCAAGGCACGTTTACATACGCAAGCTAAAATAGTGTTTAACAATGAAAGCAACAAATTGTGCGCGGACGGCTACAAAGCGGGTTAATGTTAGACAAATACATGTAGTGTTATGCACGATGCAAGCGTTTCCAGTGTTTGAGATCGGCCGGACCACGACACGTCGACTCCTCAATTTCTAACAGACAATTTGTGCTAATTCTATGTGTAGTGTGAATTGGAATGGGTCGATTTTAAATGATCGCACTCAATATAATGTACCAAAGGATTTTAAAGAACATTGGTCATTTCACGTCTGAAGGGACGTGCGATGGTAAAATGTGATCGGCTTCGACGATTTCTCTTTCTTTTAACATTCCGGGGATGGCGGAAGACATGGCATTGAGAAGTCGGTGTTGCGTGGGGCGGTGAAGTGCTGTCTCGCTGTTAGTCGTGTTCCAACAAACCGTCAAGTGACGACACTGGCGATTCTGTATTACTAGCGTTCGGTGTCGGTGTTGCGGGGGCGGCTACCTCCGGGGCGTCTGCGTCCACCTTCATCGCGACTCGGGCACTGCCATATAGGGAGCCGTGCGCTCGTTTCGGCCCTCACAGCACTCCTCTCTGCACCAGACAGGGGCGGTCAGGCGGCGTACCGGGCCCGGGTGGCGGGCCGGCGGTAGCGAGCTAGGGACCACTGGAGCAATCGCTGGTCATCGCGTCCATTACCCACCCTCGCGAACCCAATTTCTAAGGCCAAGTATAGGCCGAGCGGTCAAGACACTCACCGGTGGCGGGTATGTTGACTCGTACCACGGCGCAGCGTCCATTCTCCTTACATACCTAATTGCGATACGACACGTACAGGGGACAGGGCTCTACATTAGGTGGTCTCATACCTACGGTAACCATAAGATCAGGCGTAACGTGCAAAACGCACACCTAGTAACACATTTAAGATGACCATATAAGGTGCAATCGAAGCAGAAACGGCAACCTGCAGTCCGTGACTACGATTCAACAAAGTCGCGAGCAATCATTTTTTTAATGCACTGGTTCTGCTTTAATCGCATCTTCGTACGAAACATTCGATCAAATGAGAGAGGTATTTATGCTGAGGAGTAAGAATTGCAGCTACCAATAATAACTCGTATCACAGTTCGTTTAAACGGACATTTTAAATATGAGCATTTTTAATTCACGATTTTTATGGTTTCCAAAATAATTATGATTTATCTATTCGTAAAAAGAGTAAATATTATTAGAATAGGGGAAGGAAATAATTACATTAATGAATTTAATTGGATAAAAATTTTGGTTCAACATACCAATTAAAATTTATAGGGAATATTAGTCTAAAATTGAAGCTAGCTCATTAAAAGTGATTTTAATACATCGATAACTCTCTCGTAGGTTCTTAGCGTTACTCTTAAATAAAGAACTATTAAGCTTACAAAGGTTCATTCGAGTCTACAACTTTGTAAAGGTGCTGTATGATTTCATAAGAAAAATACCGCCTACGTCAAAAAGTTTCCCATGTGATTTGACGCGAAAGCAACCGAAAAAACGGTGGGGGGAAAACAAAACATACGCCGAGAGCGCGGAGCACCTTTTCAAAATCAACAACAATTAACATAGAAACTATTCTAGCGTCTCCAACATCGAACGGCTAAGTTTCAAATCCAACAAAAAAGTGGTGATGGGGGGAGGTGGGGGTCAATCTCTGCCGTTGCTAAACACTCGCATTCCGCATCAGCGTGTCAACACCATGGGGGCACTAACATGGGAACGGCTCGCCGGCCGCGGAGGAGCGGTCGTCTCGGGCGGACATCGTAATTTTCGCGCCCACTGCTTACGGTAAGAGGACGCGAGTTGACGCGTCGGCACGCGCGTACGTGGTGGAACAGCGCAAGGGACCGATACGGCGCGCGGTCGGCCGAGCACTAACACTGCGGGCGCTGGAGGGAGCGACGGATTCGCGCGAACGCGTTGCGCTTGTGTGGCGACGTTCGCTGAACGCTTTCGTTCGCTCGCTAGCTAGTGGCCAGCGCGTTTGTTCGCTCCTTTCAAAGTTCGAGCCGCGGGCGCGTGAGCGAGGCGAGCGATATCTGGGATGGCTTATTATCGCTACACAGTGTAAAACAAAGTCGTCCCGCTGTCTGTCTGTCTGTCCCTTTGTATGCTTAGATCTTTAAAATTACGCAACGGATCTTGATTCGTTTTTTTTACTAGATAGTGTTTCAGTAGGAAGGTTTATATGTATAATACACTGAACCCGTGCGAAGCGGGGCGCGTCGCTCGTTTTACATATAAACCATAACAACGAATTGTTTTGTATAAAGTCATAAAAGATTCCACATTAATTAGCCACAGTTACTTACAGTTAATCAGTTCATGTTCTAAACGCTGCGACGAGTTGCTAACATTATATAAAAAACTGTTTTATTTTCTTTTTCTAGTTTTTGCGTTTTTCATATTGCGACTTCGTCTATGATTCAAATAAGTGGGAAATTTAACTTCTTTTTAACTTTATTAAAAAATCTATTTAAAATCAACCACCGATATAATAGTCTCAGAAAGTAGTTTAGTATTTATTACTAATTCCTGAAATAGGAAACCATTACTCTATATGATACCTTTAGTATCGTAGAATTTTTTTATCGTAAACCTCGTACGTTTTCCTAAACTAATCTCTTTGCGAAAAAACTTCATGGGCACTTATGGGCATGGGTTATCAGTTGGTAAATGAAACTGACTGAAATCTTTTTCATATTATCAGTCAGTAAAGCGGCTTGATCGGAATCGTTGTAAATAGAAAGTTTGAGGTATTCGGGAAATTCAGCAGTATTCGGACGGGCAGGCTCGACCGGGGAACTTCCACGGCCTCACACAAGTTGATGTATAAAAAAAATAAAGAAGACCGACGTGAAGTGCAAGTTTTATACTTTCGCGTTTCGCTTGATGAGAGAGGCAACCTGGGCCCGCATTTTAATGGCTGCCAACGCATCTGCAAGGCCTGAAGTATGGCATATTTCGATGTGCGGCGGTATTCGTTTAGCTTCATGTGAACCGCTTGCTCGCTTGCCAGCTTTTAACAAAAAAAAAATATGCATCCGTGTAGTTTTTCCGCCGAACTATGGACTGTGCAAATATTCGACCTCTCATGGCCATATGAACCTTAAGTACCAATGAAAAACACCAAAGGGGAAAGGAAATCATTTAGCTTTATTGCGACGTTACTGTATAAGAAATAAAGACGACGGAAATTAATCATCATCTTATTCTTTAGACGAGCAATTCTTGTATATATTTATATTGTATATATTTTAGTACGTGCATAGATTCGGGGGCGAAAAATAGATCTAGCTAGGTTTTATTTTTAGAAAATGTCGTTTTATCAAAGTTTTCAGGGAATGAAAAATCACTCGAATACGACGGTAAATTTCACCGACAAAAAAAAAATTATAATAGCTCCGTCGGTAATCGGGCGGTCTCGAAACAGAAGGCCGTGGTTCGTGTCGCGATCAGTTACACACTGTTTTTACTTTTTTTTAATTCCAGATTTTGTCGATTCAGATAATTTTGTTATTTTCATCCCTTTTTTTAAAGTTCTTTCTTTTGTGAAAAACACCATTTCATATTTTCTTATTATTTATTATAACATGCAGTGATTTGCAATGATAGTGGAATGTGAAGAGAATTTTTTTTATAAAACATCTCGCTTTTAAACTTTACAATAAACCCACTACAGCAACCCGAGTTCGAATCTCGATACCAACAACTATATGATTGGAAATTGCAATTTTAAATACTAGTTTACCATAATGAATTACTGTTGTGATTGGCCTGTGAGTGGTAAACTCAATTTTTTAAGGTTAGCGACGCATCTGTATGCCCCATGTGTTGTATGTTGGATGTCACAATGTCTGGGCAGTGGTACATAAATTTCCTGCGCACTGAGTTTCTTTCAGATAAAAAGTACGTTTAGTATGAAGGAAAACAATCTGCATTGGAGTCGCGGGCTTCACAGAGGCGGGCTGCTCTGTGCTGAGAGGATCTTAGCGTGGTCTTATTACGTCAATGAGTTTATAACTAAAAAAGTCTCATGATTTCAAATAAATGACCATATTCTAAACATTCACTACAAACAGGACGAAATGGCAGCATTTAACAAAAACAGAAAAGTAATGTACCTAAGGACATCGCTCGAGTTTTTACTCGTAGTACGACTTAAAACGCTCAGAAAATAAGCTTGCACATCCAAAACTTTGAAGATGATTGATTGAGGGGCAAAGAGGTTGCCACTGCAATTTTATTCATTACTAAAAAGGCGGCCGGGTTAAATGAGCACCGCTCGGTGCAGGCTCGAGGGGCCATTTTTTATTTTCGCCCCTTAGAAGGCGTCAAGGGAGGCGATTAATCATCTAATATGAGTTCGCCAATCGAATCGACCGGCCGCCGTTTTTTTTTCGCCCGCTCGTTACATTTTCGCGAAGTCTGACTTAGTAATATAAGCGGCTCTGCCGGCGTGGGACGACCAAGGAGCCTTTGTAAGTCTCGAGGACGACGGTATTTATAAAATGCTATAAAACGTCTGCGACTTCAAAGGAACGTTGTACAAAAGATGATTGGAAACCCACTCGTCGTATTCCAAATGTAGTGCTAATTTTAAATGTTCGTACTCGTATGGTATGGTATCAAAAGTTTTTATTTTTCTAAATATAACGTTATAAAAATACACCTGCTTTTGTAAAATTCCCCCTTTGCCTACAAAATACGAGACAGCTTTCGAATGTTGAAGAGGTATTTTTGTTCGGGTAAAATTATTCGCTATCACGTTTAAGGAATCTTGTTTGGACATCAATTAAATTCAAATCTTTATCGGCATAGCCGTGGACTTCAGGAGGACCAAGTAACTAAACCTTTCGAAAGTGCTTCTAGGGATTTAGAACGATTTCAGTATAGGCTGAAACTTAGAGACCATTTGGACGATTGTGGTTAGAATCGATAATCGATTTAATTCAACATGGCGGAGTGTTCTTACAACAAAAGGCACATTATCAACTTTGAAGAGGAGTTTTTGGCGTTTTCCGTAAGCAATTTCGCTTTATTGAAATTACAAGGTGAAGCTACTTTCTAAGTATCGTGACAATGTCTCACCCTGGTTTGCGACTGATTTTCACTCAATAATATTTATTCTCAGAAGTCTCTGATGTCAGGATCGATCGCCGACAAATATTTCCGGTCTTACCAGCCTTTACATAGGTAGATACAATGAAAAAATATTTTAACATCACCATTCTCTTGCCCTTATCCTACTTGAGGTCCTTACCTAGATGAGGTCGGCACAACGTGTGTTACATGTTGTAAGTGCTTTTGGACAGGTTTTTTACCACCGGCCGCCTGCCTGACGTCAACCCGTTCTTGAGAACTAACATCCGGATTTGGAGGGATTATCTGCGGGTCACACAAATATTTGTGCCGAGTGGGAAGCGAACCCACGAACCTCTGTGCCGAACCCAATAATTAAGCAACTGCGCCATAGAGTATTCAAAAAAAATACCACATTTATTTTAACATGTTTCACGCGATGTTTAAATACCTTGTTACTGCTACTACCTACTCACTTCAGCACCTACGTAAACATTGATTTACTCTGATCGCCTAATGGCATCTAAACTTTTAATACACTATACGTACTTTACAGCCGAACGTTTTCCAAACTTGAGTACGGCGAAATGAACCGTTCGTAAGCAGCGGAGTAGACGAGATTGTTGCCTGAAGAAACGCTGCATCCCTACGAGTACTTCGGAATTGTTTTCTTGGCAATTTCACTGGGGCCGCCCCCGAGCAATGGAAAGATTGGTCACGGTAAGTATTTACTCGAGCTGTAAATACGCCTTTAATATCCTTAATCAATTTCAATACTGATATTTCATTTCAAATATATTAAAGTATTACAGATATATTTAATTGGGTCCTGATAATGAACTATCTTTGAGATATTTTATTTAATAATCTAAACCAAGATGATTCGGTGATGACCCACCCTGTGGGGCCGTTGCTAATTCATTCGATTCGTCGCCGTGGCTTCGATTCCCACAAGGGACAAATGTTTGTGTGACCCACAGATAATTGTACCGGATCTGGTGTTTTTTCTCAAGGACGGTTTACGTCAGGAAGGCGGCAGATCAAAAAAGCTAAGCCAACGTCTTTAACATAATCCTAGCAAAGTGGGAGAAGGGCAGGAGAAATTATAAGAGGGAGCGAATTTAAGCCGACCGACGATAAATGAAATGGAGACTTTGATAAGTATCAAAATAATTTCTCGAAGGTTTCGTTCCCGCAGCACTGAGGGCAAGAAATTCTGTTAGTAATCACCGCTTGTGCTTCTTTGTTTTTAACCCAAAACCACGCTACTGATCTCTCTTTGATCTGTAGTATCGCTATTGTGTAGTCAACTACTATCTCAGCTTACGGTAAGTGAGGTGTAGTCTTAGATGTTGAATGTAACTATGTTAAGTGAATGCACGAGCTAAGTAACAGCCTATATTCTTGAAGATATTCGCATCATAATCGGATGGGAAAACTGATGTCGGCAGACTGTTCCGCTCATTTGCTTTCGCAATATGGACACCAAGTAACCAACTCTTAAACGTAAGTCGCCTCTACGTAAGGGGAGACAAACATCTTCGTTCGTAGGCACGGACGGACAGCAACAAAAGGATGTAGTCTAGTAGGCCGGTCAAGGAATGGGAAGACGAGAATTAAATTATGCAGACTCTTCCTTAATAACTTTTGTTCAATGCATATTAGTTAAATTATAGACAGAAAACGAAGCGTCGCACCTTATGCTTGTAACTAATATGAAAATAATAAAACCGTTTAAAAACTTTTAAGTTAAACGGTTTTATTTTTTTTTTGTTAATATTGTATTGTCATCTAAATTAAATGTGTGTACCAAATTTCAGATCAATCTGACAACGGCAAGGTGCTTAAATTGCAATTTCTAATTTTGACCCAAATAAATAAACAAATAAATTCCGTACGGCTCGAGCTAAATAAAACCGTTTAATAATATACTTTTAACGATGCTTGAATGAGACTTATCCATACATTCATACTTATCGTTACATAAGAGCTATATTCTAATTATAATTTCATTGAAAATAACATTATTATGTCAAGTTTATTAAAATTTTAATTTCCTTCGAGTCACTGATCAAATCGCAAAGAGAAAAAACGAAGGAAAACACCGGAAACTGATATATTTCAAAGGCGCTATAACTCTATACGGGTAGATATTAAATTAGTTAATGTAGATTGTCCCAATATTTTGTCCAATGGTTTGTGATAAGGGAAACTCGTTGTCGGCTCAACGAATATCGAGTTGTTAGTATAAATTCTGGCGCTGGAAGATGACGATGAGGTAATTAAAGTGGATGTCTGAATTCAAATCGAACCCTTCGCCGGCAACGGGCCTCTCGTGAAATATAACGAGTGCAGTTAACAAACGGCGGGGCGTAACGAAATAATTGCCGAGGACGGTGTGATAATAAAGGCGGACGACCGCCATATGCACTTTTGTAATTCGACGCGAGCGTGCGGCCCTGCGTCAGTGGGCGACATTTTGTTTATGCTGACGGTACTCGTCGACCGCTTTTGAGTTACACATTTTTTCTTGTGGTTCCGTACCCAAAGGGTAAAAACGG